GCCAAGCATCAGTATGAAGATGGCGCCATAAACGCCTTTTGAGGGTTTTGGAGAAGTGCATATACATGTGTCCCCATAACATTATCAGGAGTGATTGAAGGTGGTGGTGGTGGTGGAGGCCTAGGTTGTACCGGTGGAACTTGTGAGGGTTGATCCCCTGATTGTTCAGCTGTTGAACAGCTGGGAGGGGGTGATGCAGGTGGTGATGCCAGTGAGGGCTGATCCCACTCTTCTAGTAGGTTATCGCCCCCTCCCCCGTGCCCGCCCCATCCCGCCCCTCCTCTCCCCCTCCCAATGATCCCCTCCCCTTCCCCCTCCCCTTTCCCCCAAATATATATCTCTCCCTCCCAATATCTCAATCTCGGAATAGGCCAGGCTCTTCATATTTACAGTCGCCCCCTTGGAGATCTCAACACAGACTCACAGCGACTGGTGCGCGAGTCTACATTTGCTTGACTCTTAAGTGACCTCAGTTTCCCCTTGTGTTTTAACATCAATGTTAATGTATTCACAAGTTTGCATTTGTGTATAGCGCCCTCTGTCAGATGACTTTGGAGAACACAACTGAGCCACGAACAAACACACGTTAGCACATGTAAAATCCCTTCATGTCAGACATCTTTGGACGATATTTTCTGAGAATCGTTTGAGGTTTTGTCTCTTTTGAGACCCAACAAACTGAAATAAGAGGGAAAGGATGCAAGGAGGTAATTTAGAGACTCTTGTAATTCTTGAGAAAGAAGTGTAAACCATATATTTGATTCATTTTATAGATAATTCTGCGATCAGTTTTGACATTCTGTAGCTCAAAATTGAGTGTGATTTTCGTATATGTTCAACCATTGAATTTAGGAATTTCGATTAAGTGATGATTTATGTACGGTGCTTTTATAATTCATGTAATACTCTGTGAACTTAAGGATATTTACTTTGTTTATATATTCACAGTTTTCACGAAGCCACTGCGGATTATTTCACAAGCAACTGCGAACCATTTCATGGAAGACTTGCGAATCATTTTCATGGAATAAATGCAAGATGTTATAATCAACGGCTTCTGTAGAGACCCTTGTTTACTCCTTAGTTACCGACCTTTGACCTAGATGTGACCTGTGACCTAGATGTGACCTGTGACCTAGATGTGACATGTGACCCCCTGCGAAACCCCTAGTAGTAGCACTACGAACACCTAAAAGACTGCACCTCGAAATTGATTTAGTGCTGCCGCTACAGTGAAAACTCCTGCGTAACTTAAGCAGTCTTTGCTACAAGAACCTCCCCCTGCGTGATCAGTGATTGTGCGACACATCCTCACATCTGGAGACGAGGCTGTACCTGCGTTGAGTACTGATGAGATGGCTTCACTCTTGTAGCTGCGACACGAGTGCCCGTTCCGGTACCATCAACCATCGACCCAACGACCCTGCGACCTGTCGTCCGTTGCAACCGTGACTGTTCTTCGGACATCATGGACTTCATGAACATGGGATCCAGCTGTTCTACCGGACATCATGGACATGTGATTTCTTGATCATCGAGACTTCATCGTGGATCTTTGAACTGGACAGTAAAAACTGAGTTTGCGTCTATTTGTGCATTTTGATTTGCATAATTGTAATTTGCATTTGTGATTTGATGCAAATTGTTATTTGATTTGAGCTTTGTTGATAACAATTCAGAATTTGTTCCAGAATATAAATATACTGTATGCGATACATGTACACTGAATTATAGTGGTATTGAGATCAATCACATTGTTTGCCATTTTCCGTTCACGTGCGAAGTGTATTTTACTACATGTATTACATGTACATGTGTAGTGCTAGTTACATGTACATGTACATGTAGGTGTGTACCATTGACCATACATGGTGTATATGCAATTGTTTTACATGTAAGTTGGATTTGGTGATACAAGTAGATTGCACAAATTTATTTGTGTTTATAATTGTACCTTTTGTTGATTTTACACACGTTGAATTTGAGCAAAGAGTTACATACTAGATAGTATTAACTATTTGATGATTAAGTTTTGAAACTTGATATACATGTAAGTCTACATCAGTACATGTGTTCTGTACGCCATGGCTGACTCAACAGAAGAACGAAAGCAGTCTTCGCCTACACCCTTCCTCGTTCCTACACCAGAAATTCCGGAAACACCAGATGCGCAACCCCCCTCTAGTGAACTGACATCAATACTCTGCAACCCACAGCTTCTTCAGCAAATTAGAGATCATATCTTGAGCAAAGAAGAACGCCTCAGCGGACGTTCAAGAGCCACCAGATCTTCAAGGCAATCTTCAAGATTTTCAGGAGTTTCGGTCAAGGCAACGCTTGCTGCCGAGGCAGCTGCCTTGAAAGCGAGGCTTGAGTTTGCAGATGTTGAAGGAAAACAGAGAGCAGAGGTCGAACGGCAACAAGCTGAACTCAAGAAAATCCAAACTTTGACAGACCTGCATGAAACCGAAGCAAGGTTAAAGGCCATCGAGCAAGCAGAACGAGAAGAATATGCTGAAATTGTGACTGATGCCGTGAAGGAAACAGACAGCAAAACTTCACTAGTAGAAGAATACATCAAATCCCTGCCTACCCCGAACGCTACTCATGGAGCGGATGAGTCTGCAGTAAAGTCAGTCTCACCAGTAGGAACACCGGAAATTCCACAGCCAAACCAAGACTCTAGTACATCACAGCAGCAGATCAAGAACGAGTTGACAACGCCCAGTCCACAGACTACGCTGCAAGATCTCACAAAGACGTTTGCAGAGCAGATAAACCTGAGTCGTCTACCGACGCCAGAGCCTGGTGTATTTACTGGCGACCCCCTTAAGTATCCGAGATGGAAGCGTGCCTTCGAAATACTCATCGAACAGAGGGGCATCCCACGCTCAGAGAGACTCCACTACCTACAAAAGTACCTGGGTGGAGCTGTGAAGGAGTCCATTGAAGGCTACCTCTTCCTCTCAACTGACGATGCATTTGACAAGGCAAAGGAGCTTCTTGAGAAGAGATTTGGTGATCCCTTTGTTGTCGCCAACGCTTTCCGCAACAAGCTGGAATCATGGCCCAAGATCTCTCCTCGTGATGGAACTGGGATGCGAAATCTTGCTGACTTCCTCGGTCAGTGCCAGGTGGCTATGGAGACAATTGGTAGCCTCCAGGTACTCGATGACGAAAGAGAGAACAGAAAAGTACTCGTCAAGCTCCCTGACTGGTTGATCAACAAATGGGCTAGAAAGGCTGTGGAGTTCAAAGAAAAACAGAAGAAGTATCCTCCATTCAGCGACTTTGTAAAGTTCATGCAACTGGAGGCCAAGATTGCATGCGACCCTGTGACTTCGATACAAGGACTCAGGGGACAAGACAGACAAAACGACAAAGGTGAAAGGAAAAGAACCCCAGGAGGGAGTTCCTTCTCAACCAGTGCGAATGAGGCAACAAAGAACAGCAACACAGGAAGGGGGATCCAGAATCCGAGGTCCTGCCTTCTCTGTAGCAAGAATCACAACTTGGGCGATTGCTGGGAATTTCTAAAACAGCCATTGGAAGAGCGCAAGACTTTTGCGATGAAAAAGGGGCTTTGTTTCGCCAAGGGCATATGTCAAAGCACTGCAAACGGAGAGCCACGTGCAAAACCTGTGCAAAGTCTCATCCGACAGCTCTTCATGGAGACATAAGAAAGACAGAGAAACCCACAGAAGGTGGAAAACATCCTCAGCAGAATTCTGAGAAGCAGCAAACATCTGTCAGCTACCACACAGGTGTTAGTCATCTTAGTGGAACGAGCAACTGCTGTAAAAGTTCGATGATCGTCCCAGTATGGGTCTCACATCGTGATAAACCGGAGAAAGAGAGGCTGGTCTATGCGCTCTTGGACACTCAGTCAGATACGACATTCATTTTGGACAGCACTTGCGAGGCATTGGATCTACAGGGTACCAAGGTCAATTTACTGCTGTCCACCATGTTTGCGGAGGATCAGAAGGTAGCAAGCAGAAAGATAGATGGGCTGATAGTGCGTGGGTTCGACAGCCATCTAAAGATTTCGCTACCAGCTGCATACTCGAGGGAAATAATGCCAGCCAACCGTTCTCATATCCCGACCTCAGAGATGGCCAGGAAGTGGCCACACTTGGAGAAGCTTGCTGATTTGTTGATGCCTTCGACTGACTGCGAAGTAGGCATTCTCATCGGCTATAATTGTCCGCGTGCCTTGGCACCTCGTGATGTCGTTCCTCCTGTCAACAATGGACCATATGGTCAAAGGACCGTCCTTGGCTGGGGCATCGTCGGTATTGTAGACCCCAACCAGTGCGAAGTCGACGACTGTGATCCTATCGGTGTGAGTCACAGAATTCGGATCCATGAAGTACCATCGTTTTTGACAGTTGGTGAAAGTCCAAAGGGATGTACAGAAGAGAATGTTGATAACATTCAATTCTCCTTCAGAAGTCGTGTAAAGGAGATGGTCAGTCCCTACGAAGTTGCACAAATGATGGAACTAGACTTCTCCGAGCGAAAGTCAGACGAGATTGCACTGTCTCAAGACGACCGTAAGTTCTTGACCAAGATGGAGGAGGGTATTCATCAAAGATGCGACAGTCACTTTGTCATGCCGTTACCCTTCAAGGAAGCAGAACCTAAACTTCCAAACAACAAGATTCAAGCTCGTCAGCGTCTCAAGCAGCTAAAGGGCCGGTTCAAGAAGAACCCGCAGTATCACAGCGAGTACAATGCCTTCATGAATAACATCATCAAGAGTGGCTATGCTCAGAAGGTTCCTGATTCCGAGCTTGATGTCTCTGATGACTGTGTATGGTACATACCCCATCATGGTGTCTACCATCCGAAAAAACCCTGAGAAAATCAGAGTGGTCTTTGACTGCAGTGCCAAGTTTGAAGGAAAGTCATTGAATGACTATCTCCTACAGGGTCCTGACCTGACCAACACACTTGTGGGTGTCCTATGTAGATTTCGACAACAACCGATCGCCTTTATGTGCGACATAGAGCAGATGTTTTACCAGTTCTATGTGATTCCAGATCACCGGAAGTTCCTTCGATTCCTGTGGTGGGAAAAGGGAGACCCTGAAGCTGAACCAAGGGAGTTCCAGATGAATGTCCATCTGTTTGGTGCGGCATCATCCCCTGGGTGTGCGAACTTTGGTCTCAAACAAATTGCGAACAGCTATGAAGAAGAATGTGGTTCTGCAGCTGCGAACTTTGTGCGAAATGACTTCTATGTGGACGACGGTCTGAGATCTGTTTCCACCAGCGAAGAAGCCATTGAGTTGATAACGAACACCAAGGATCTCTGTGGCAGAGGTGGTTTGCGATTGCATAAGTTTGTCTCCAATTCACGAGAAGTGATGGAAGCAGTTTCGACACAGGATCGTGCCAAAGGAATCAAGGATCTTGACTTGCGTCACGACTCTCTCCCCATCGAGCGAGCACTTGGCGTCCATTGGTGTATCGAGTCGGACACATTCCAGTTTCGAATCATTCTGAAGGACCAACCACTCACAAGACGAGGAATCCTTTCCACGATCAGTTCGGTATATGATCCTCTTGGATTTGTGAGTCCTGTTCTGTTGGTTGGTAAGCAGATATTACAGGAGCTGTGCAGAAATCAGGCAGAGTGGGATGATCCACTTCCTGAATCCTTACGGCCAACTTGGGAACGGTGGAGGAGTGATTTGGCTCTTTTAGAGAACTTCAAGATGCGACGATGCTTTCTTCCGGAGAATTTCGGTCGTGTTGAATCAGTAGAGATTCATCATTTCTCTGATGCGAGTACCACTGGCTATGCCCAATGTTCATACCTGAGACTCACCGATGACCAGCGAAGAGTACACTGCAGCCTCATCATGGGGAAATGCAGAGTTTGTCCTCTGAAGCCAGTTTCTGTGCCACGCCTTGAGCTAACAGCTGCGGTGGTGTCGGTCCGTGTCAGTGCTCTGTTACAGAAGGAGCTCGAGTATGAGAATGTCTATGAGGTCTTCTGGACCGACAGTAGAGTAGTGTTGGGCTACATTGCCAATGATGCACGGAGATTCCATGTTTTTGTTGTGAATCGGGTACAGCGTATCAGAGACCACACCAAGCCTTCCCAGTGGCGACATGTTGCTACAGATGTTAATCCGGCAGATGACGGATCAAGGGGTCTTGGAGTTGAGGAATTGATGAACAAATCAAGGTGGCTTGTTGGACCTAACTTTCTATGGGAAGAGCAGGTTCCTATCATAATCGAAGCCAGCAGTCCAACCATTTCTCCAGAGGATCCGGAGGTGAAGAAGGTCAAGAGCCTTGCTACACAGACTGCGAAGCAGACATTTGAGCTTGAACGTCTTGAGCGCTTCTCTGAATGGCATCAAGCCAAGAGAGCTATAGCGACTTGTCTGAAGTTCAAGTCTCTCCTGATGAAGCATTCCATAAAGAAACCACAGCCAAATTCGATCCAGGCTCTACGAAAAGATGCGATTCCTCTCTACAAACCTGTGATGGAAGAGGACATGTGCCAAGCGGAACTAGAAATCCTGAGACTGGTGCAGAAAGAAGCCTTTGCAGAGGAAATCAAAATCCTGGAATCTCTCAAGGTCAACAGCGACAACCCTAGCAGATCCAAGGTTCGAGAGCGTAACAAAGTCATGAAGACTAAGAGTTGTCTCTACAAATTGGACCCATTTCTGGATGCTGACAACATTCTGCGAGTTGGAGGCCGCATTAGAAGGGCTGGGTTTCCTTCTAACTTCAAACACCCAGCTGTCTTGCCCAGAAAGCACCACATCACCGAATTGATCATTCGACATTGCCATCAGCAAACCCAACATCAGGGTCGGGGCATGACCGTGAATCAAATCCGAATGAATGGCTTTTGGATTATTGGCTGTAGCTCGGCTGTTTCCTACTACATATCCAAATGCGTACGATGCAGGAAGCTCTTCGGCCAAGTTCAAGAGCAGAAGATGGCGGACCTGCCGGAAGACCGTCTCGAACCGGCACCACCATTTACCAACTGTGGCGTGGACTTCTTTGGTCCTTGGTACATCAAAGAAGGAAGAAAGGAATTAAAGAGATACGGAGTTCTCTTCACGTGCATGGCAACACGTGCCATTCACATCGAAACAGCAGCAAGTCTCAGCTCAGACTCCTTCATCAACGCTGTACGGAGATTCATTTCCATTCGTGGGCCCATACGACAGCTGAGATCTGATAGAGGCACGAACTTCATTGGGGCAGAGTCCGAGCTCAAAGAAGCTGTCGCTGAAATGGACCATGGCTCTGCGAGGCAGTTTCTCCTGAAGGAGGGATGCGATTACAGCCACTATGAAGTCAAGATGAATGCTCCATCAGCCAGCCATACAGGAGGAGCATGGGAACGACAGATACGTTCGGTGCGTAGAGTTCTGGGGCCACTGATGCATCAGGCAGGCTCTCAGCTTGATGACGAGTCTTTGAGAACACTGATGTGTGAAGCAGCTGCAATTGTTAACAGTAGACCTCTTACAGTGGACAACTTGAATGACCCAACTTCGCTTGCGCCACTTACCCCAAATCACCTGTTGACGATGAAATCCACTATCATCTTGCCACCGCCTGGAAGGTTCCAGCGTACTGACATATACTCCCGCAAACGATGGCGTCGAGTTCAATACTTAACGAATGAGTTTTGGTCACGATGGAGGAAGGAGTTTATTCAAAACATCCAACTGCGTCAAAAGTGGATACGACCACAGGATGACCTTCACATTGGGGACATTGTCATCATCAAAGACGAGAATCTTCCTCGCAATCAATGGTTGCTTGCTCGGATTGCTCAGGTGTTCCCAGGCGAGGACAATCATGTAAGGAGGGTCAAACTCGCTATTGGTGACCCCCACTTGGACGACAAGGGAAAGCGAGTCCATTCTGAGAAGTTCCTGGAGCGTCCCATTCAGAAGCTAGTCTTACTTGTGGAGGACTTGGAGACCAGGGGAATCCCCGACGAGGAGCCCTGAGAAGCTTCAACATACATGTTGTGTTTAGTAGTTGTATGCTTAGATAACCTGTTAGTTTATTGTTGTTTAAAGTACTTGAGTTTAGAAATTTGATAGTTTATCTTGTTCGAAAGTTAAATGATTACCAGTGAGATGCTTCAAAGATGATTTATTGTATGTTTGTACAATGTACTCAGACAACTTAAAGGAGCAGTTACCATGTAATTTTTGCATTTTAGTCTAATCAGTGCATGTTCACAATGTTGATCAAGACGAGTCTAGATTACTATAACTTCTGATTGTAAATTAGTTACACTAATTTGGGGAGCCATGTTAATGTATTCACAAGTTTGCATTTGTGTATAGCGCCCTCTGTCAGATGACTTTGGAGAACACAACTGAGCCACGAACAAACACACGTTAGCACATGTAAAATCCCTTCATGTCAGACATCTTTGGACGATATTTTCTGAGAATCGTTTGAGGTTTTGTCTCTTTTGAGACCCAACAAACTGAAATAAGAGGGAAAGGATGCAAGGAGGTAATTTAGAGACTCTTGTAATTCTTGAGAAAGAAGTGTAAACCATATATTTGATTCATTTTATAGATAATTCTGCGATCAGTTTTGACATTCTGTAGCTCAAAATTGAGTGTGATTTTCGTATATGTTCAACCATTGAATTTAGGAATTTCGATTAAGTGATGATTTATGTACGATGCTTTTATAATTCATGTAATACTCTGTGAACTTAAGGATATTTACTTTGTTTATATATTCACAGTTTTCACGAAGCCACTGCGGATTATTTCACAAGCCACTGCGAACCATTTCATGGAAGACTTGCGAATCATTTTCATGGAATAAATGCAAGATGTTATAATCAACGGCTTCTGTAGAGACCCTTGTTTACTCCTTAGTTACCGACCTTTGACCTGATGTGACCTGTGACCTAGATGTGACCTGTGACCTAGACGTGACCTGTGACCCCCTGCGAAACCCCTAGTAGTAGCACTACGAACACCTAAAAGACTGCACCTCGAAATTGATTTAGTGCTGCCGCTACAATCAAGCTGTAATAACAATACAAGTCGCGCTGTTATGACAAATTCTATAGAGCCTCAGTCAACACATTCAAGGTCAGGCTGTTTATAGGCCTACTTCAGGAGATTAGGTAAACATTCTTGATTGCACAACCTGACATAAGCGCTGCAACGAGCCAATTAGCATATCGTTCAAAAACGAAAAGAAATTCCACATTATAATCAGGATGACTTAGTTCTAAAACTGGGTGATACGTGTCATAATCTAAAACTTGGTATTACAAAATAACACGTAATCAGTCAATCACTGCCAAATATAGAAATCTATTTCTAAAGGGGGAATATTTGGCATACAAGGCTTGGTGTTTCGTCACAACGGTGAGTTGCACCATAGAGCTAGGTCCATCGCATGCACATCGCATCAAAGCTTTCTCTGATACTGCATTTTGCTGGTTAAGCCTATATACTGTTTGACAGAACTCTATTTAATACTTTAAAAAGATTGGTTTCTGCAAAGTACGTCTGTAGCCTTACAACCAGCAGTTCGAACAGGAAGATCCATCTTTTGCTTTCAAAGGTAATGCTTTAGTAAGACATCTATATTACATGTTGTAGTAAAGTTAAACGACTCACCAGAATTTCTATATACAAAACAGTCAAAACTGGGCTGAGTCCATGAATATTGGGCAACTGATCACACCGTGAATGCAGGTGATCACAATCCAGCCAGAATAGTAACGACAATTGGAGTCCAACTGCGTCTGGTTTTATCGCAAGCTCTGTGCAGTCCGGCCAGCACAATGGTTGACCTTCCTTTGAACTAACACTTTTATAAGGTGCGTTAAAGATGTAGTCTAAAACTTAAAAAGGGACACTTCAGAGTTGAGTATAAATGCTTAATTTGTTTTTGTTTTGTTTGTTTGTTTGGGTTTTTTTCAGACGATGGCTTACCCAACGCAGACAGTTGACATAACGTATAGCCAAGAAGCATTAATCTTGGCAAATAGTATGGTCAACGAGACTAGAAAGTGGATTGGAGAAAAGATCGGCAGCATGATGCAACAGTGGGAGATTGCGAAACACCACTTGGAGGAACACCGCCACGACATGGTATTAGAAGTTTTGTTTGTAACGCCAGATTTTAATCAGCCACCACCTCTACCAGTTTTAACAAGCAATGAAATGGAAGAAGATCAACAGCCTTCAAGGGTAAAAAACTCTATTGATCCCCTAGATTTTTATAACGAAATTTTAGCTAGTTATAATGATATAGACCATCGAGTGTATGATAGTGTTATCCCCTGCGTGGTAGACCATGAACGGTATAGTTTAAGCTATTTAGAAAATTGCGAAACACACAGTAATGAAGTATATAAACGAGGGGAAAACTGTGTTTTATACATCGCGGCAAACTTCGGTAATTGGCTAGAAGTTTCTTTTAAAACATTCCAAAGGGATAAGAAAAAGGGGAAAGGTAAATTCAGCAAATTTTAACACTTGGTTGAAAAACAATTGTAAGATAAAAAGAACTTGGGCAAAAATACACAGAGACTTTTACGATCTCACCAAGAAGTACCCGCAATTACTGCACTGTTGCCTACCCTTAACGTTCTTCCCCAAAAAAGCATATTGTGAACTATTTTACAAGTAATTTAGAAGTAGGATCAAAATGGACACATGCTGTGCTTTGCAATTGTGGCCAGTGTGGACCTTGAGTAAAAACCTTTTGATATATGAAAAACCAAACAGCTATTTAAATGAGCTAATTTGAATAACAACAAAAAAGCCACTCGGAATGGATTTTTACTGTTTATATTAAGATGTATGAAAAGCTTTTTAAATGAGCTAATTTGAATAACAACGAAAAAGCCACTCGGAGTGGCTTTTTTACTGTATATATTAAGATGTATGAAAAGCTATTTAAATGAGCTAATTTGAATGACAACGAAAAAGCCACTCGGAGTGGCTTTTTACTGTATATATTAAGATGTATGAAAAGCTATTTAAATGTAATTTGAATGACAACAAAAACGCCTCTCGGAGTGGCTTTTTACTTTATAAATTATGATATATTAATATCAAACAAAGAGAACGTATAAATGATCGTTTTATCGAGTCCAAGTTCAATTATTATAACAATCAATAGAGGGCGCTATTTTTGTGTGGTGAGGGATATCAAAATAATATAAACAGAGGGCGGTATAATAAATAATCGATTTATCGAATCCAAGTGCAATTATAATAAAAAATCAATACAGGGCGACATTTATGGGTGTGAGGGATATCAAATATAGAAAATGCGCAAGAAGATCGTATCAATTGGTCAAGTTTAAAAAGAAATATAAGAAAAAATGTGGAGAAACTAATTTTTTCTGTGTGTGCAGAGCAAGACTCAGAAGACGTCCAAGAAACAATCAATAAATATTACGAGCTCGTTAATTACAAAACATTGAGAGGAAACGGATGTGTTAAACGATCGTTAAAAGCCGGGTGTTGCCATAATGTAGTTAGATTAGACAAAGAACGAGTTAGAGATTTATTTAAAGTGACTCAAAATCAATTTAATAAAGCACTAAAAAGATACGATGACCACTACAAAAAAGGCGGGTCCGAGAATGACGCCCTAAGAGGCGAAATAGAGGTATAACTCGGTGGATTGCTTTCATAATGTTTATTTACAGAGAATTTGAACTTGTAAGTTTTTCGATAAAAATTTTTTTTTCTTTGCCAGCCGTTCGTCTACCCGTTTTTTAACTACTTTTTCAAAGTCTGCATCGTTTTTACTTTTATTTTACGAGCTCTCTCGTTATCAATAAAAACTCTTCGTGCGATATATCTCCGTCGTTGATGACTTGAGACGCGTATTCTTCAATCGTGTTAAGTTTGGAGTCTGCTAATATTTTAATGTGATCGTGCTTTTTCAGCTTGGCGGATTATCGCTTAGACGCGATTCTAAGCAGAATATCTACACCAAAAGCGCCTATAAACGTTCCTTCTAGCACCAATCCAACGGGGGCTGATATAACACCCAAGAGAGCGGTAATACTGATAGCCCCCGCTATAGCCCCCAATCCTTCTAATCCTAGCTCTACGTTATTAATAGTGTCGATCATTCTCTTTATTTTTTAGAAGTGCGCTCTCGGTGGTCTCTCTTTTTCAAGATTAAAGATCGAATCTCTTCAATCTTTTTAAGTCTGTATACTTTTGTTTCCTCGTTACTATTTAATTGAAGTACATCTCCAGAAATATCGGGGTATAATACATTATTACTCATGTTTTTAATATAAAAAATATTTTAACATTAAAAGATCTCAAACTCTATCATTGTACTCACACCCTTGTTGTTGATGATCTGTCCTTTTTCACCTATGACTTAAAATGTCAGTTTGTCGATTCTACCGTTTTTAAGTTTTTTGAAATCCTCGACTCTATCAGGCTCGGGTTCGCGCGTACCCACGGGTACGATTTTTACGATAGCAGACGGTCAACCATCGAGGAAATTTTCACTCGTACCTAATTGCGGGCAGCGAATAAACACAAATTTAAGCGGATTACCGTTGTAAGACCCCGTATACACCACTTTTGGTACCAGTCTTCCTTTGGGTAAATTGAGTAATCGAGAAACTTCTCTGTTTAAACGCAATTTAAGTTTCACGTCGGTTACCACCTACGTCACCTTTTTAGATTCTCTAAATATTCGAAAACTTAACCCGTGTATAAAATTGAAAATGAAATCGAACCAATCGACGTCATACCACCCCGGTGGTATGGTGACCGAACCGGCGACTTCGGCTGGTAACGGCACTAAATGACTCGGCGAAATAAAATCTAAATCATCACCCGACACGATAGGACTTCCCCAAATTGTCGCACCAGCCTCCCTAATTGTTTTTACCCTGTTTGCTTATCATACCTTTCGATATATATGCTAGCGCTATATTTTTACCTTCAGAGATTTGATGGTATTTTTCATATAAATT